TTGTGGTCTTGGTTTATCAGTCTAAACAAGGAAGTTCCGGAGGGTCTTTGCTGACTTCTCTTGTGTACTGTAAGTTTCCTGCCAGGGCATCCTCCATGGAGACAACTTTAGGGGTATCGATCACAAATAGACAATCTCCAACTACCTTTAATTCTCATTTCCACAGCACTTTCCAGATCTCAAATATGATTTTAAGTGGAATTTTTGTTAAAATGAGCTATAAGAACTCATTTTGATAACCCTGTGATACATCTTCAAGTTTTCTTATTTCTTTTTTCTCATAACACTTGGTAACTGGAGTAAAGTTGATTCAGCCACAAGATGGATGTTTTCCTCAGTGGAAAACATAACTTGAAAACTTAGTTGAATGGGCTGGAGAGTATGATTACTAAGCCAAATGGTTGACTCTATTAATTTTTCCTTCTCAAATATCATGACTCCAGTTCTGGCAAAGTGGCTAAGACTAATGCCTTTGAAATGACCTTCCAGCAGGAATTGAGTTACTACATTAAGTAAGCTAGGCTATTCCAACTGTGACTTAAAACACTTTTTGCTACTGTGGAGAATAACATATAAAAAATATTTAGCATGTTGAAATCGATCCCTCTGTTTTGTCTTTTTTTTTTTTTTTTTACAAATTTATGCTTTTGTACTAAATACCTTACCTGACCAGATCTGGATATGTTTAATATGAGATGATAATGCCCCTTAGTGGATAAAGTACTTAACTGCAAGTTCTTACTTTTGCACAAAGAAAAGCTCTCTATTTTAGCAGAAATATGCTATAATATAGTAACTCTTGTAACTACTTGCCTACATTTGAGCGTTACTGTGTGAACTGTGAACATGTTTGTGTACAGCACTTAGTGCCACTGAGTGCAGGGTAGCTTGGCAGATACCTGCTGTTAGCACATTCATCCGACAATGACCGTCAGACAGCCAATGGCCTCCACGGAAGTGGGGGAACAAGTGCTCTGCAAATGCAGTGTCAAGGCTCTCTGTGTCAGCTCTAAGATACATTGGGAGATGGGCCTGAAGAGTACAGTGTCCTCACCTGGGAGGTGGCTCCTGGCTGACCCACCTGTCCAGTGGTAAAAGGTACGAAGTCCCACTTCTGAAAATGCACAGAGGTCCCCCAGCCTTCTGCGTTCTCACGGAACTGGGATTTTGATTTGAAGGTGCATCCACAAAATGTGAATTCACCTCCACCTGGTGGGGGAGACATTGCTATTTTTCCATGCTTGACCTTGGATTTGGACTTCCCACGGCTCAGCCTTCTGAGGCTGGTGTTTTCTGATGCAGGAGCCCCCACAGGAATGCAGGTTACTTAAACTCTTTGTGAGAATGAGTCTCTGGCCATCTCAGCCCAGCAGTGGGAGGCAGGCGCTTCTCAAATCCTGCTCGTCTGTTTTCAGAGGTGTATTTTTGCGTCACTGAGAACGTATTTCACTTTTCCGATGACTCACGTGTTTTTTCTTTGGACTTTGAAGCACAGTGCGGAATCCGTGTCTGCTTCTTTATGTGCCTGACACTAGCTGGCTGTATTTTTATTAAACTAGGTGGGAACGTGGTGGAACAATTTTCCTTCCTCCCCTCCCTCTTTCCTTCCTTCCTTCTCTCTTTCTCCCCCTTCTCCTTTTTTTCTTTATATTTTTTCTTCCTTTCTTTTTCCTTCCTTCTTTCTTTCCTACCTTCCTTCTCTCTTTCTCCCCCTTCTCCTTTTTTTCTTTCCATTTTTTCTTCTTTCCTTTTTCCTTCCTTCCTTCCTTCCTTCCTTCCTTCCTTCCTTCCTTCCTTCCTTCCTTTTTCCCTTCCTCCTGTCCTCATTCTTTTCTCCTTTCCCACCCACCTGTCCTCCCTTCCTTCCTCTTTCTCTCTTTCTAGTTTCCTGGAAGGGCCTCTGTCAGAAGGTACTCAGATACCGATTTTGGCATTCACACCGTCACTGTTCATTCATTCTCATTTATTCAGTGGACACACATTCCCTGGGTGTGGATTCAATCAAAAGTAAATCCCAGTTCCCCATTTAGGGAGTCTCTGCCTTTACAAGGAGGGGCAGGCAGTAGGTCGATGTGACTAGGAACACAGATATGAGCTGGGCGGACTTATGGGCCAGGGGCAGAGGGCAGGGAGTGCTGCCCACAAGTAGGTCTAGGCCAGGCCTCAGTGCCTTCAGAGCATGTTTAAGAGCCATACAAGAAACCTGGTCCCACCACTCCTTCCTAATAGGAAGACCGGCAGCTGCCAACAGAGCCCAGAGCTGAGTCTTCAACAGCTGTCTCTACACAGGCCCCTTGTTCCCACCGCCCCTGAGCAGGCATGATCACTGCAGGGCCCAAGGTGAAGGGCCTCAGGCTCCTTCTTCATAGCTCAGGGACTTCACTGTGGCAGGATGTTCACTGGACCTTCATCCCTCACCCCCGTCTTCCTGCAGGAAACTTCCCAGGTTCTTCCAGCCCAGATGAGTCATCCCTTGGCACCTCTTCCCCCAAAGCTTTGACTTTACCCAGGGAAAGTCCCTACCAGATGCTTCTTCCCATTTCAGCTGGCTTTGAACTCGGCTTCTCACCCTGACTTGTCCCAGGCCTCAGGGACTATTAATTCCTTCAGTTCTAGTCTCCGAAAAGAGTGATGCTCCTGTGTTCCTTCTGTTGACAAGCCTCCAGATTTCTGTATTGTATCAGAATTGTGCCCGGTGTGGAGGACAGCAGGGCCTAAGTCCTGCCCTCAGGGAGCACAGCAGATCTGTGCATTTCCTAAGACTTTATTTTTCGTAGAAATACATAGGCATATGCAGGGAATATACATTAGAGAAAAAGAAAGAGCAGGTCAGTCCTACCATGGGGGCAAATAGCCAAGGTGAAGGAGGGTGTTGGCTTTGAGTGGGGAAGGGGATCATCTGTATTGACTTAAATGGTAAGTGAAATGCGGGTAGACAGAAACCTAAGCAGAGCCAGGTCAACTATACAAAATTTTTGGTTATAATTTTTAGAAATTTTGACTAGGGTTATAATGTATTCCAACTAAATGCTAAAACTGAAAGCCTAAGTGGGCTTCCAAGGCCTTGAGAGCCTTTAGTCATCTCATGGCATCTTTTGGAAAGCTAATGGATACAGCTTTGATATTTGCCTGCCATTCTCAACCTAGCATACTAACATTACAATTTTATTCTAATTGCAGCGAGAACTAATTTGGGCTCTGAGGGCAGGGAATATAGGTAGGTTCTTAGTTGCTTCTAACATTCCCAAGAGAAAAAGTCTGAATTAAAGAAATACTATGTTATATTTTTGAGTACACATGATAGATTGAACCAGGCTGTCCAAGTATTGCTTCATATGGATTCTCTGGGGCATGTTTTACTGACTGTATGAACGTGATTTGTGGTTAGCGTAGTGGTGCATTTCATGACATTTAATGCTTTAAAAGTGCAAAAGGACTTGAGAACAACTTTCCTTTTGTAGTTTAGCCATTCCACCAGATTTCTGGATTGCTGCATTTTCACAGAGGTAAACTCTGTAGTGCTCCCTGATTATAGCAGCAGCCAATTTTGATACAGTGGTGTACTCGAAAGTGCTATATCTTTATCATCCTCGCCTTTATCAACAACTTGAATTCCGTAGAGCTTTAAGGAACAAGACTACAAATGCTTATTGGAAGTACTGGAGGTCTGCAGTTCTGTTTTTTAAATCAAAGTTGCATTTTATTTCTAATTAACTTAGCTCATGGTTTGGGATTAGTCTGCATGAATCCATATTTGGGGATTGGTTGATATTCTTATATAAAACCCTAGACTGCTGGAACAGGGAGGAGGTTTACCTGATCATCTAGCCCAGTCCTGTTGGGTTACAGATGATAAGAATGAGACTCAGAGCTTGGGAATGACTTTACCTAGGGTCCCGTAGCAAGTAAGTGACTGAAGTAAGTTTAGGACCCAAAGCCTGTGACTCTCTGTGTAGTCAGTATCTTCTGTGTCCTTTAGGCCCGGGTTACACAGTAACCTTCCAACCTGCCTAGAAGGGCCAAGGGCTAAGCTGCATTTCTGCTCAGGAGTGTCCATTTGAAAGTTCCCGTAATCGTCCTTAGCCAAATTTCCCAATTCTCTGCCATTTTACTCCCCAAAGCACCCCTTCTGTTCTATGGTTTCATGTCCCTCAATAAGACAGAGCTCTCTTCCCTGATATTACTACTTCTCTCAAATTCTTATCCAGATGAGCCCCCTCTGAGTTTCTTAAAGCCCAGGTCCTGTTTTAGGTCCTCTGGGAAGTTTTTGCTGGCATCCTCTACCCTGATTTTGTTTCAAAAAGCTTATTCAATACCAGGCAGTTCAACGCCCAAGTTGTTTAATAGTTGCCTGGGTGTGGCTTCTGCAACCCTCACCCACCAGAGGCCAAAGGCCACCATGTTTTAAGCCATTTTGTTTTCTAAAAACATCCAGCTCTGGAGTCCATGACAAGCAGATTAACAGAGTGGCTTAGAGTGAGAGTTCTACAATGGGATGGGCTGTGTCAAATCTCAGTTCCACTGGTTATTCATGGAGTAACTTTGGGCAAATTGTTCACCTTACTTCAGTGTTCTCATTTATAAAACAGAGGTAGTAATAGCACATATGCTGTGAGGTTGATTTGGGGATTAAATATGACAATATATGTAAAGTCTTTAGCACAATGCCTAGCACAGAATATATCCACTCTCTCTAGAGGTCACTATTATCCAGTTCACAAACTAAAAGCAATAAGTATTCAATTTCATATTTTGTTGGCTGTAAATCAATACATATTGGCAGTGTGCTCTGTCTGCCAAAATTCCTCAACGCCATGTTGGGTTGCATCATTAGAAGTATAGTGTCCAGATGGAAGACAGATGGAGTCCTGCTGCTCAGACCACACTTAGGGGCCTGGAAACAGTTCTGGATACTACACAGTAGTAAAAGCTTTGACCAGTGAGAGTGTGTGACCAAAATATCAGGATGATCTGAGAACTTCTCCTTCTCTGTGATTTAGAAAGAAAAACCCAAGTTTGAAGAGGAGAAGCTGCAGAGGAGTCATCGAAGATGTCTTCGTGAATGAATGTCTTCATTCATTCTGCATGTGTCTGACATTCCTGTTATCTGTAAGGTCAGGCCCTATACTAGGAGTTGGGGGGGGTGTATATAAGTCAATGGTGATAGATATTGAAATGAAAATAAAGAGAATGACAGAGGGTGGGCTGAAGCGCTATTCTGGACAGAACAGTTAGGTTGGGCTCCCCTAAAAAATAAACCCTGAATGGGATTAGCAAGAAAAGTCATGCAGATCTATTAGGGAAGTAGTCCAGATAGCAGGACTAGCAAGTACAAAGGTCCTGTGGCAGAAACATATGTGATCTCCAGCTAGAACGTAAGGTTTGAAGGCAGAGATAACTTACCCATGGTTCTGTGGTAACCACATGTTACAGGTGAGGTGTTGAGATTTAAACTCAGGCTCTCAGATTCCTAAGCTCATGCCTGCGGCATTAAGGTTTTTAGAGAAGGAAGGAGTAGACAACCTGGGGTCATGAGGGCACTCTGCCTTATCCGCTCAGACCTGGAATGCAGTTCCAGGGATGGCCAGCAGAGGGGACCAGGCACCGGGTTTCTGCAACACACCGCCTGAAGCCATGTTGAATGAGCAAATGTCTGCGACCAACTCTGTGAGATCTAAACGTCTCCTTGGCAGGAAATCCTCGAGGAGCACGGCGGGGTTGTGCAAACAGCCTTACAATGTCTGCTTGTGTGTGTGCACTCAGCTTCGCCCGCGTCGCCCACAATGCTCTGGGTTTTTTTTTTTTTTGGATAATGGGGCTCTGTGGGCCCATGCGCCTTGTCATGCAGAGGGAGTGACCTGTGTTTGTCATAAACGGGCTCTTGTATGATTAATAGCCATGCGAATGAACCCACAGCAGCTGTGAGCACCCAGCTTCACCTCTTCGCTGAGGCGGTGGTCTGAGGCCACTCCAAAGCAGCAGCGCAGAATTTATGGCTGAAAGGGAAGTGACTTGTTTGCACGGTGGTTGCAGTCTTTCAGATGCAAGGTAGGGGGCGCACACTAAGTGTCTCTACATCATCTTACCCTAATAACAACACTAAAAGGGGAGTATAACGATTTACATTTTACCAACATGGGAAACTTAGATCCAAAATTACATTGACTCTGCCAAGGTCTCCAGAGCTCCTGCTGTTTGCACTAAACGATTCCCTTTCCTTCTCAGAGTGGCCTAATCCAAGGCCCACACGCTTGGAAACGCCCTCCTCATTTGGCTTGACTAATGAAATTTGTGATTTTAAAAAAGATGAGGGATTTCTGCCCCTGGGCATCAGCATGTTTATTGTACATATGTACATTTTTCTGAGAAAGCTAGTTTTCATCATATTCTCAAAGTAGCCTGTGATCCTAAAACAAAAGGATCAAGCACCCCAAAATGTTTACATTTGGGAAAAAGCTTATTTTTCTCTGGCCTTTTTTCTTACCGATGACCAATGACCATTTCCTCTGCTCAGAAGTGACGTCTATGCTGTGACCACTAATCTGACACTTGCAACCCATTTTAGTGACTGTGGGCGACAGTGTGACATGTCCAGCCTGTGAGTGGTGCCTGGATTGGGGGGAGAGGCTGAAACGGCTAATATGATGAAAGTGAATCAGACACAGCCCTTGAAAGAATCCACAGCAAGAAAGAGGGTTTCTGGGAAGAAATGCTATTTCGTTTGGTTGACAGGTAGAGTGGACACCCACAGGCAGAGCAGGAAAGGGTGTTCCAGGCAAAGGAAACCACAAGAGAGGTCTTAGCACTCTGGGAGACTGGTGGATTGCTTGAACTCAGGAGTTCAAGACCAACCTGAGCAAGAGCAAGACCCCATCTCTGCTAAAAATATAAAAGCGAGCCAGGCATGGTGCTGGGCACCTGTAGTCCCAGCTTCTCAGGGAGGCTGAAGCAGGAAGATCGCTTGAGCTCAACAGTTTGAGGTTGCTGTGAGCTGTGATGCCATAGCACACTAGTCTGGGGCAATAGAAGTGATCTCTGTCTCAAAAAAAGAAAAGAAAGAAAAGTAAGAAAGTGTAAGAGGGATGTCACAGAAGAAAGAAGTAGGTGAGAGCCCTTAGTACCGTCCATGTTCTGGTGTGAGCCAAGTGCACAGTGGCTCTCTGTGGAGCTTCAAAGGAGCTTCCCCAGAGGGGCTGAAGAGTAAATAAGCACTTAGAGCCAGGTTTTGTAGCCCGGGATACCAAGTGAAAAATTACACCCACTTTTATTGGATAGCCAGCTTAGGAAGTGTTTCTGTTAAACACGTGTTTATTCCACTAGTCAGCCGTGTTTCCCATCCCTCCATTTCCCATCCCCATGTCCCATCCCTCCATGTCCCATCCCTCCATGTCCCATCTC